CGCGTCGCTCTGCCGGCGCGCCAGCCCTCCGCAGCTCTTACACAACTACTTTTTATTTTTTTTTTCCCCCTCCCTCCCTCTCCTCTAAAAGCCGGTTTTAAAATGTTCTCGTTGGCAGACGCCTCCGGGAAAGTGCTGCGCGCCTCGCGCAAACCACAGGCTCGTACCCCGGGCACAATGATTTTTCTGGAGGTTAACTCCGCCCATGGGGTTCACACCGAAAAACAATCGCGGGGAAGGTGGTGTCTGAAGCCGTCGGAGGGTGTGCGAATATGAGGGAAACCAGCAACGAATTGTGGAGGTCTCCCTCCTAGAAGTAGCCTTTCTGCTCAGAAGTTAAAAAAAAAAAAATTCCACTGTGCAAAAATGCAACAAGCGAAATCATGACACGTTCTGTTTCAGCAACAATTTGCAAGCATGCTGGTTAACAACTGCTCACGGAAGCTCTTGCAGTGAAGGCTAAATGAATTTTAGAGGAATATTTCAAATTAAAAACCATCAGTTTTAAATCTGTCATAATTTTTGCTTTAGCTTTATCAACAAATACTGGCCTCGCTGACTGTGTGACACAAATTAACCTCCCTGAAAATCAGCAGCCCCCCAAACAGCTGCCTCACTGCTGTTTGCTCAGATGGATGGAGCCTTGGAGCAAGGAAGCGGCACACTCAGATCTGTTAGCACTAAGAAATGCAAACATGCCAGTAAACGGGTAGAGATGGTGATGGGCCTTGCACTGCCTACAAACGAGTGGTGAATGTATTTTTTCTTCAGTATTAAGAGGTCAAGCTAAAGTGATACCTCTCTGTTTCATTCCTGCAAGTACCTTTAAACACAGACCCCTATTATGAATTACTGCAGAGATCTTATCTTAATAGATACATGTAAAAGTGATCATTGTGGTAGGTTATTTTGAATAGGACACCAGTGGTAAAAAAAAGTGTATTAGGAGTGGCTTTAAGGTACCTCTTAACTCCCTCATTTTTGGGTTCTTGTAGACCAAGTCTCCAGCGTAACACAGAATTGCCCCAGAAACAAATCTGTTTTAATATTCTGCCATCATAGGCCTTAGATGTTGCCCAGGCAATTTGCATGCAGCTTAGGTTTTTATTCTAATTTCTCCTCCTCCTCCTCCCCCAAATTACATGACTGTAGTTCAGGAATTCTTTGAGGCAGATTGGTCAGCCGGCAGTGCAGCTTTTGAAGACTGCTTTTCTCTGGCTCTGTACTGTGTGGGTTCTCTGAATTTCTAGAAATTAGATTTTTAAGACTTTCCATTGCCTATCAGATTTAGTTGAAATTGGTCAATGCATTCAAATCTTAAAGGGGAAGAAGGATGTGGCAGGTAGACACTAAGATGATATAATCCACATTTCCTTTGAAAATCAAGCTGAAACGTTATGGCTTTACTGCTGAGGTAAAGTTTTGGAAAGGTGACTGATCTGTTCGTGACAGAGTTACTCCACAGGCAGAGACTGTGAAGCGCTGGTTTGCCAGCTGTGACTCTGGTTCGTTACTGCTCTGCTGTTGTTGCACCCTGTGATACTGCTTGTGCTACCAGAAAGTAAAACATAGATAAAACTCATACCACCAATGCGATGGCTGGAGCTGGCAGTGTGAGCAATCATGCTATGTTGCATGTCGGTCATTCCTTGTTCACAGTCACTAAGGCTTTGGGGCTCCTCTATTAGAGAAGAAGCTCCTAGTGCTCGATCAACACATGATGCCCATTAGCAGGGGCCCATTTACAGGGCTTTAGTGGCTCCCTGGTGCCACCACCCCCAGTGTATCCAGTTTTACCAGTGAGGTGGCCCTGGGTTGCCTGCAGCGGTGACAGCACATCCAAGAGAGGCAGGATGCCTTCTGCAAGAGGAGCAGAGCTCCCACTTGCTGGCCCTTCTCCCAGAAACCGCCAAGAGAAATGTTGATTTTCTGTCACTTCATAACGAGGAAGGTGTTCCCCAGGAGAGGGTAGACCCTTATTCAAGCGGATGGACGTTTTAGAGTTAAAGAAGCATATCGCTGAAGAGAGTTAATTGTACTGCTGGATTGCTTCAGCGGCACTTGTGCTTGCTTGGCACTGAAGCATTTTCTTAGCTGGAATAAGGATGACATGCCTAGATTTGTACTTAGAAGTATTGAGGCTGTCCTCAGAGTCACCTCTTTAACAAGAACGTGTAAGTGCAGCAGATTTTTTCACATTTACGCTAAAGCAGAACTTGCTTTGTTGCCTAATTTTCTTGACTCAGAAAACATCTCTCATTATTTTTGCCTTGTGAGAAAGATCACGATCATAGTTATTCTGAGTTTTGTTCAGAAGGTGGCAGCAGCTTATTACTTATATAAAATAGATTGCTTCCATTGTTAATGTATGTCTGAGTGTAAATAAATGCTTATGTTTAATTGCTTGTTTCTTTACTGGTTCATTTTAGTGAGTTTCTTGGATTTTCTTCAGGCTATGCAGTTGCAAATCTAAATTAATTTTTAGTTTACTCAATAACATTTAAGATATTTTATTCCTGCCTGCCACAGAAGTGAAACTTTGAAACAGATTGATTTTCAAACAGAGGGCGTTAGAGATTCAGGAAGATACATGGCAGGTTTCTAGTTCATTTTCCCTTTTCTAAGGATTTGCGTATATCACAGTTTATTGTCCAAAATGTGCACTTCGTAAGAATGTGGGATAGTTGAAGAGAATGCGAGCTTTCTCTTCCAAAGTGTGATGATTAAACAACACTTACATTCTTTATATCTAAAGATATTTAAATCCCTAACAGAGTAATACAGTATTTCAGAGTTCATGAATATTCATGTTGCCAACCATCTGTTGATTAGTTTTAATCCCTGTTCATATTCAAAATCCATAAAATGATCAAAACTGGGAGTAAAATATGAGTGCATCTGTTTTTCCCTTCCTGTTGATACACTTTTTCCAAAGTAAGAGAAGAATAGGAAGAAAAAAGAGTTGGGACAGGAAGATGATGGAATAAATAGGATGGAAAGAAACAGAGCAGGTGGAAAGGCAGCAGAAAGAAAAGGCAAAGTGCCACCCAGGCTTCCTCATCTCAATTGCTTTCTTATGGACTAGTGTTTTCATTTTCGTTGGAATATGTGCTCAAATAAGAAATATGTCTTCCTTCTCATTTGGTGTCTTCTGGATGCTCTGTGAGCAGTTAACACACAACGCAAAGATTGTCTGCAGAAAATGTGTCGTCGGCATGATGCTGTCATCAAACATATTTCCTCTATTCCGGCTTACCTATAAGAATCTGTCATCTAAACACCCGTGAAAAATACACATTTTCTTGGATGCTGGCATGGACCATTGATTGACAGCTGAGTTTGAACAGTTTGCCCACGAATGAATTGAAGTGATAACCTTTTCTTTGTAGCTGGGAGATTCAGGTTTCAGACTGTGAGAGCAAAAGCCAAGGCATTCAGCAGAAATTAGAGAGGGTAGGATGGTAAACGTTAGCAGTGGGAGCTGAGCAATTACAGGTATATAACTCAGCTTTTGTGTTCTGTTATTTTCTGTAGTATTTCTCATTCCTGCCAAGTGAAATTGTGTAATGTTATAGTACTGGTGTTATGAAAACAGCAGGAGGAATCATTATTCACATTCCTAAATGAAAAATGTAATTATGAGACTATTTCATATCATATTGATTATGTATACATCCCACAGTGCTGCAAGTTAGAGAAGGTGAGTACAGTTCCAGTTAAGATGATTTTAGTCCAGGTATGGAAAACAGTTTTGCTTACCCACTTTAAGAACAGAAAAACAGCCAAACCCAATCTTGGCAGCGTGTGTGAGTGTGTATAATTTTGCTTGTCTCTTTACTGCTGTATTAAAAATCAATGTATAAAAAGTACGAGCTCGACTGGTTGTTAAAGTGGGATATTACTACAAAAAACTCTCCTTTCTGTATGCCTGACTACATTATAATTGCGTCTAACACAGAGCAAGTATCTTACTAAACACAGGGAAGAAGACAGAGGTGGAGAAAAGGC